GCAAGACACCCAGTAGCCTACAGTTTGCTAAAGGTAAACAAAGAAGAACCATTTAGACTGATGGTCAATAACATACACTGAGCAAATTAAGGAAAGTGAATGATATATTATCGAATAAAAATATATAGCAAATTTTGCCAAAGGATCAAAGGCATCAGTTTGAAGGATAACGAACTTTTGGTGAGCTTTGATATACAGTCCATGTACACCAACATCTCAGAAGAAAAAGCACCAACGGCACTACCGGAGATCTTGAAAAGAAACAATGAGATCCTGGAGACTGAGCAAATCCGAAAAGTATTTAACCAGATTAATCAAATTTATAATAAAAACTATCTACTTCACGCTCAATGGCCGCATCTATGAGCAAATATTTGGTCTGTATATGGGCTCAGCATCTCTACTGGCTGATGTCTACATGAACACGTTGAAGGATAATATCAAAACGTTACTTTAGTAGTCAAGAGTAATTCTACTATATTTGGAAGACTACTTCGCACTCTGATCGTATGAAAAGGAAAACATTTGACGAGTTCCTCCTCTTCCTAAAGGATTAACAAGGATTAATCGGAGTCGCAGAGCGGTGAGCCAATGACTTATTCGCACAAATCCACAAACACTGCTCCAAGGCAATCCCCCTACAGTTTGCGATGAGGCTAACTTAGGAATCTCTTCTACTCGCCTATTCAAATGAATTGAAAAGTACTTCAACATATATAGCATGCATTTAGGCAGGTACAATATATATCATATCCGGTCTACCTAAATTGAAAAGGAAGTTTGAAGAAGACTGAACAATTTCTAGTAGGCATTGCGAACGCAAACAGTATTGGGAGGCAACCGTCAGCTGGTCATTCAGAGTTCCGCTACTTTAATTCAGTGATTTAAACTAGCCACTTTGTGCACCCTAAAATTAATTTATTTTAATTTTTTTACTCAAAAGTTTGTGATATTAAAGGGTATATTGTGAATATCCTTTACAAGGTCATGCTGCATGCTTTGCTTCTTTACCTATAGATGCCTCGATCTTCTTTCTCTACTAACCATCCTTCTTTCCCTCGGCGTAACAAATTACAGGAAAGGTCCAACTTAATTTCCTCTATCAAAGACAAGTATATATCACTTGATCAGGTATTAAATTTGCATCCTATTAATTTTACAGACTGATCCAAGTTCGTACAAGCGATTTGACGCGTTTCCATTATCCCTTCCTACCTTAAAAGCTCTTAACCTTAATAACTTTACTCAGCCCACAGAAATCCAAAGGCGTGTACTGGGACCTGCTTTATTAGGAAAGGATATAGTTGTTGAAGCGAGAACTGGAAGCGGCAAGACGTTAGCCTTCATTATTCCTATACTTGAGAACCTATTCCTTTCTGGTGCCACTTCTCTCGATGGACCAGTTGCTATAATACTTACTCCTACTCGAGAGTTGGCCAGGCAAATCTTCCTGGTCTTGCAACATGTATCTAAATATCATTCATTTACAATAATTAATATAATGGGCGGAAAAAATTTGGTAAGCTTGTCTTTATTTATGAATTCTTAGTCATTTTAACTCCATTTTGGTCCTTTATTTTATAATATATCTTTAATTGTTGCTACTTAGCTCTAGCACTGCAGACACTTGCTTAATTGTCATGAGTACTTAAGTATTTTTATGTAAGACATAATTTTGTAACTTTTTACCTTAGCTCTTGTTTGAAAAGGTGGCTTTCCCACTTTCTGATCCTTCCCTATATTCTCTAAATTGTTTCCATTTATTTATATCCTGAATTAAGGCGTTACAAAAAGAAGAATGGGCTTGTATTGCACGTGCAAACATCTTGGTTGGAACTCCCGGCAGACTAGCACATCATCAACAACAGAACCCTTATCTTAACATGTCTAGCCTTCGAATACTTGTATTAGATGAAGCAGATCGCCTCCTTGATCCTACATTTCGGCATGATCTTCAAGCCATTCTTGAAAATCTAACGCCTGATCGCCAAACTATGCTTTTTTCCGCCACGCAAACTAAGTGAGTTTTTTAATCGATTAGAAGCCTAAGGCGGCAAGACTAGCCGTCTGTTTTAATATTTTCCCATACAGAGTCTTGATCTGAACGACCTAGCCATGGTCACCTCAAACCTGGTGATACTTCGTATCCATTCAACGATTTTTCCTGCAAGAAACCACTTAGGGTGTGCTCATTTTCTCTTGAAGCGGTCTTGTTACTAATATTATATAAGTATGATCACGACTGAAACGGTAAACAATTATAGGGCAGGCAAGAGTTGTTAATTGATATTTAGCCATATGGGCATGAGTGTGAATCTTATATGGTAAAAGGTGCAATTATCGTTCATTGCTTTGCGTGTTTCATCCTCAGCGCTAGACTGGACCAATTTTACTACAAAACGTAACCATTTGGTGAGTACCGTCGTATTATGGTGACTGCATTAAGGATGCCGTGTTTATAGGAAATTTTTTATATCCTGTTGGACAAGGCCACTATTAGACATGCTATTTTCTTCCCAGACCACACTGATTTATCGAAGCGACTACGTTAACAAATAGCATGTATACCAATTCAATTATAGACACGAATTTTCTCCTATTTGTAATGATTAGCCTAAAAAAGCTGCGATTATTTACACTAAACCTCACATTTGTCTAAGGAGTAGCCGTTTAGAACCAGAATATGTTTTAAGTCACTTATTTCTGTCGTAATTGATTGAAAATATATTACAGACTACACAATATTGAATGCTCTGGAATGCAATCCTATCACTTGCTTAGTTAATCTGGAGAAATCATAGTTATCCTTTAAAAATGCAAGGAAGACTTTGAGATTTCACTTTTACTTTTCTCTCTTTATTTTAGATTATTAGATCAGTTGATTCGACTTAATATGCGAAATCCACTAACAGTATCTACCTCTTTAAGCAAAAATTCCGTAACGCCTGCTCAGCTTATCCAATCATATGCAATCGTGCCACTAGAAAAAAAATTAGACTTTCTTTGGGCATTTCTCCAAAGTCATTGCAAGAAGAAAATTATAGTATTTTTTTCTACTCAGAAGCAAGTAAGCCAATTTGTGTTAATATCGTTTCGCCTATTCCGAATATTTATTTTCTTTTTCTTTTTACGGTTTCCACTTTGCGCCCGATCAGCCATACGACGAAAAACACTACTTTTTGCAGCTATATTGTATTTAATCAAATCCATTATGTTCATTTTTAAAAATTAAATTCCAATTTCCTAAATTGGGTAACAACCTGATGCTCTGAATGAGCTTCTTTCATTTGTTAAATTTTGAGAAACTTTTGCGTTTTTACGCAGAGGTATTTGCATAATGTCCTCTATTTTTACAATATCTTAGCAGTTTACACTTCCCTATATCTTCGCTGAAAACTTTGTTGTTTCCCATATTAATTATAATGTCGCAAACTCCCGACTTATTTTTAGATCGCTTGATTATTGCTTATTTAATACGTATTACCTTCCTATACAATGGTTCCATATTGTTATGATGAATATGTATGGACTACTAGTATTTTCAAAAAAAGGTCCATGGCCATCCTATGTCAATGGTAACGATTTTTTTCCCTAACCGCTATTGATAAGCCTCGCGATGCCATTAAGGCTTATTTAGCCTTGCTTTCTTAAATGTTTACTTATTGAGAATGGACTGTAATTTCTACCTCGTTTAGGTCTTATCAGTACTCCTATTTTGATTCAGGTCTTGGGCATCGTGGTGGTTTTGGAAAGGTCTGAATTGCATTGAAGTTTGTATGTACTCTGACACCTTTGCACCAGTGACTATGCAGTAGTTGATTTTTTCGCCATACTGTGCATGATCCGGTCTATAACGCTATTATGAGAGTTGATGACCTAGGCCAGGTCGAAACTACACTCAAATCTGGACGACAAAACGGCAATGACATCATGAGGACTATTCATATACTTGCAGGAAATTTTCAGTTTTATTCCTTAAATCACCTTAGGTGAATTCATATTCAGAAATTCCTCAGTTTCGAAGCTCTTACTAGTAGTTTATTTTTGCCTTTCGAAGACAGGCTATCTTCACCATGCTGACATTTTCTATTTTCGGGTGTCCAATTATCCTTGATCAAAGTAGAGATTTACTTGTACTTCTTTATCCATGGTGGAATGGGTTTCTGCTTCGCTTATGCCTCTGCCAAGCTCAAACATTGAATGCTAGAAGAATAATCAAGCGAGTTCTGAGATGAAACCATTTTTTGTATAAATAGTGGTGAGACTAATTGACAGTCAAATGTTTCCTTTAATTTAATTTGTACATATCGACTTTCAGTTTATGAAACTCTAAGCGGGCTGAGGCCTGCCTTATATCCTAAAGGAGATACTCAGGTATCTTCCGCACAGGAAACTCCACTTTTGGTATTCCTGGTTTTTTAGATTGTGGCAACTTTTACATTTTACTTCGTCTTCCACTTTTTATTTATTGTTTTGATTTTCTGAAACTTATTATTCAAATCATTTATATACTATTTTCGGCTTTCAGGTGCGATTTATTTACGATTTGTTTCACCTAATGCAGCCGTATTATACTCTGTTGCAGTTAAGAGGCAATATGCTGCAAATAAGGAGATTTCAGATATATGACAAGTTTTTAAATAGCCGAAAGGGTGCAGTGCTTTTTGCCACCAATCTTGCTGAACGTGGTCTCGGTAAGCTGAACATTTATATCTTACTTAAAATTGTATTCTGCTGATTTTAGCGGTAATGCTTGATTTATAATGATATGCATATATAAGTACGATCTATCTTTTCCCTAAGCATTTGGGTTTTTGAAGAAGCATACAATTATTTTGGATGTGTGGTTCTAAATAAACTCTGAGAGCATATTATTTATTTAGGGGTTAAACTGTGCAGTTAGCTTAATTCGTGCTAAAAATGCTAATTCGAAAGTATAGCCGACTTGACAAAAATTAGACATAATATGTATTCACCCTATTTCTAGTAGTAGAATTTTCCCACAATCATATGAATAGAGCTGACGTTTCTATTTAATTTTGCATAGCCTTGCTTCCCAAAAGGTTTTATAATCCAGGGTGGACTGCAGTTTCTACCTCACCTATATCTTATCAGCACTCCCAGCGGGACTTGAACTATGGCAGTGTAGCATCTAATCTCAACACGTTAAACACCACGCCGCATTGCCATAAGTGCCCTAGGATCAGAGGGCATATGTGAATTTTACGCAAGGCCAGCCATTTTTCCTCATCACATTCGATTGCTAGACCAATTAAAACTGCTTTATTGACAATCCAATGTAATATGGGGAAATGCTTGGCCTTCCCTGAAATGCACATATGCTCTCTGACCCAAGGACACTTGTGGCAATCTGGTGTAGTGGTTAACGTGTCGAGATTATACGCTGCATTGTCATGTTAGAGTTCCGCTGGTGGTATTGATAAGATCTATGCGAGGTCCAAACTGCAGTCTACTCTGAGAAAGCGAGGTTATATAAAAAATATTGGAAACGTAGGGTCTACTCAGGTCATTGTGGGAAAATTCAACCACTTGTCCTTCATCACCTTAAACGAAACAGAGTGAACACATCTTATATATATCTTAATGCTCATATGTTAACTTTGTTGCTGGACTCATAAACAAGCGTCAACCTTATCGAACCGCCCTTTTTAAATGGCTTCATACTCTTTTTATTTTGTTTCTCTTAATTATCTTTCTTAGGGCAAAACATTCTTTATTAAACTCTCCGCACTAGCCTCACCCACTGTCTTAAATGTCACATTTACACTCTGACCCATGGAATGCAAGGCTGAGGCCGAATACTAATATGGCTACTTAATTTATCTGGCTGTTTCGAGTCCTATTAGATGCAGGAAGGTCGAAACTGCAATCCATCAGTTGCAGTCGTGTTACCTAGTCATTTAATTTCGAGAAACTCAACCATCAGACCTTTCATCATGTTAAACGATGTAAGGCAATTTGTCGAGGCGTAATCATAATGACAGGATAATTTTTGATAAATAAAGCCATACACTTCTTTTCCCCTATTTATCTTCATTTCATTGCTCTCTCTGATTATAACCTTATCTATTACTTTGATAACGCTATACTCAATACTTTTGTTCCTTTCTTTTATTTCTACTGTCACATACCTGGTTAATTTGAATAAAAGCATTGCTTTATTTTTTATTCCACATATGAATTCCTTAAGTCATAAGGTTATTATTATTAGCTGCATCTTTTTCTACTTCCATTAATTCAGACTTCCCAGATGTTAATTGGGTAGTACAATTTGACTGTCCAAAGCAGATGGATGATTATATTCATCGAGTCGGAAGAACAGCTCGACTGGAACGTCCAGGAAAAGCAGTAACCTTTTTGCTTCCTTCGGAAAGAGCATTTGTCGATCTGTTGAAGGAGCGTGGTATCGAATTAGTACAGCAAAAGTAAGTTTGTTTTTAATATTTTTCAACGAAATAAGCTCCCCAGTTTTATTCAAACTTACCATGCATACCATGCATATATTTCATCAATTTTACAAAGAACCTATTTTACCCGGACAGTTAAAGATCAAATCATTTTTGTTTATTTTGTTTTAAGGTGATGAAGGACTGATAATAGAATATTCCCACAATTATATGCGTAGAGCTGACGTATTCATTGAATTTCACATAGCCTTGCTTTCCCATAAATGGTTATACTCCAGAGTGGAACTAAGCGAGGTCGAAACTGCAATCCACTATGGATGAGAACAACTTTTGGGAAAACAAGGCTATGTTTAATTCACGTCAGCTCTACTCATATCATTGTGGGAAGATTCTACTACCAGTCCTTTACCCTCAAACGAAATATGGTGAATACATCTCATATAACATATTTACTGGTAGTCTCGAAACCCTGTTTTTATACGAACAATAATGTACGCTTTTTCTTTGCACTCTTAGTTACTAGTGCATTCCGCTTTAAGGGATTTGCGTTGGCATCATACTCTTCATACTATTTAGGCTTTATCTTAGCTCTGATCCTTTTTTTATATTTTTTGTTTTCTTAATGTTTCGAAACTAGTTAGGGTTAAATCGATCCTTTTTAAGTGAGCTCTGGTATACATTATTTTCAGGATTTCTAAATCAGATTTGCTGTTTGACCATCAACTTTTTTCATAGTTAAGGGGGATATAAAAACTATAAGACAACGCATTCCTGCTTATATTTACTTAATTGTTGAGCTTACTTCCATTCCAAGTGAAAGTGCTTGGTGAAGATATTCGAAAGTCGATCCCACCAGAAGGCGACAGCGGATTCCTCTTGGCCAGCTGTCGATTGGCTTTACTGGAACATTCTTGTTTACGCTGTTTCCGAGGTACTCTCCTTTGATTCAGTTGAAAACATACTAAGTCAAGAAAACTCTTGATTCGTTAGCTTGAATTTTATTGTAAGGATGGTACCCTGCTCTGATGATGTTCATCATATGACGGACGAAAGCTTAGCACGTTTTCACCGGAATCGAAGGTGATTACCTCGGAAAGAGCATCTACAAGAATGTTCCAGCTGGCAAAGAGGAATTCGTCGTCGTCTTCTGGTGAGATCGACCCTCAAATTTCTTTACCAAAGCCCAACAATTATGAAACAAGAGGCTCCTCGTAACCCAACTTTTCTCCGCATATATATTTACTTACCCTTGACCGAACATGAGTCACATTTGAGAGCACCCATATTAAGTTTAGTTCTACTTATCAAGTCTATGTATGAACGTATCCTCAGAAGGAGAGGTTGTGGTTATCTATAGATCCCAATTTAATTGAACAATGTGTTAATGAGTATAGCAAGCTATATCATAACCATATAGGCCAGGACAGTCTAATTTTAATTGGAGGATCTTGAAAAATCCATTGTATAGACTTGTACTAAGCTCACTGGATGACTATTAACTGTAGATTTTGACGAAATTTGGAGATTTTTGAATATTACTTTCGTTTAGTGTTAAAGTGGTGGGAGATTCCACTCCTTGCTGGGTACTCTTTATCAAGTTATTTGATCATACTGAGACATTTAGGCCAATGCAGTCCTCCACACAGGCTACTTTGGTTTTGGGAAAAATATGCTTAGCTCTCTTCTGTTGTAACATACAACTTTAAGCTAGCACTCAGTCAAGGGAAGAGATCATGGCAGACCAAGGAGAACCGGCCACTACTTTATAGTATTGTAGAGCTTCACTACAGATTTTCATACAATGTGATCTTTCATGAGATTTATTTAAATCCAGTTTTTATTTATATTAAGGGTTCGTTGAAAAAAACGTAGTTATAATAATGCAAAAATTAGGCCTCACTATGTCACTCAATTTCACTTAGCCCTGTTTTCTAAAAGGCTTTCTTATCCCCGCACTTCTACAACTCCCAAAATATACTGATATTTTCGTAACCCACTCGTTTGGCATTTAATAATGTCGTCAGTTTTATTGGCAAACTATAAGCATGGCTTATTACAAATCGCATTACAAATGTGCTTTTGGAGAAGCCTAGCCTGCCGTGACAATCACTTTCGCCCTCTTATCTACTGGCCGTATTGCCATTTAGATATGAAGAAAAGCTGGGTTTTGAGGAATCTTATATTTGTTGGCGATTGAAAAGGCATATTTGAGGATTCGAGGGCCTTGAAACAAACCTTGAGAAGTAGGTATAGATTATTACGAGGCTATTGTTTTCAGAGTTATAAGAAGAATGCATTTGATTCTGTTAAGGGCTTGGCGGCCACTATATGAGGATGGAACTTGCGGGAACAGGAAAACCTGGTGGAGTTGTCGGTTTTGACCGACAGGTGTGGCCGGTAAGGGAGGTTGGCTCTGCTCGAATATACTTATTCAAGGATACACATATCCTACCAAATGAGGGTGCCAACTTTCGTAGATATTCAAGAGTGTGTTGGAGAAGGATAGATAGTACATGGCTAACGGGCAATTAAAGAATAAGGAAGAGTATCATGGTAGTTCAAAATATTTTCAGGGTCACTGACCAATTTTATTCAGGTGGTAACTCTGACTCAACCTGATTATATCGTCTACGATTTCAGAAAAAGGATTGCGAAGACAATCTGTCACGGGTCCTATGGTAGGCAAGCAACTCACTGATATGACAGAGGATACAGTACAGGATGTATTTTTATAAGTCGCTCTCTTATTACAATCAAGTTGCTAAAGGAAAGTCAAAATATTCTTTACTATATTAAGAAACTGTGATAAAAATAAGGACCTCATTATCTTGGTTTTCAAATCCACGATTCCTTCAACTAGTATCCATTTGTTCTACTGCCCCACTCCATAGTTAGACCATATGGTATAGCTATTTTTGTTTCTTACAGTTGCGT